ACCATGTGGGATCTCCTCTGGACTCCTTCCGGCCCGTGACTGGTTTATCTGATTGTTAACCTTTCCCTTCTCTCTTGCCCCATCTGCCTATACAGGCTAAGTTCTGGAAAGAGGTGGCAGGGGTCTGAACGCTGCTGGCTGCTGGCGTCTGTGTGGCTCACTTCTGCATGGCCCAGGGGACAAGTATGCACGTGACCCACAGTGGTACTCCACCCACCTTTGTTCACTGCAGGGCTGCATGGTATACAGACAGTGTGCAATACCTGATGCTAGAATGGCTGGTTTCCCCCTAAGCTCTGCATACAACTGGCTCCAGAGGAAGTGGATCAGACTGAACCCATTTAGCCCTTCATTTTTAAGTCACTCACTACATAGAGCATGAGAGTCCCTTTGTCCTCATGAGAGCCCACGACTACTCACCTGCCAGGAAGACAGCAGCCAGCCTCATCTTCTCAAATCAAGAGACTAGGAGAGAGTTTTTCTCCCGTTGGATCGTGCTCGGCTGTTGTGATAGGAGCGTCGGGGCTGCGTCCCTGGCACCGGGCCGCCCGCACGGCTAGCTTTACCCGAAATAATTACACTGAAACTGTATTCTTTTAAACACTGCCTGGCCCATTAGTTTCAGCCTCTTAACCCATTTCTAATAATCTATGTAGCACTACGAGGTGTGCTTACCAGGAAAGAGCTTAACCTGCGTCTGTCTGGAGTGGGAGAACCATGGCGACTCCTTGACTCAGTTTCTTTCTCCCAGCATTCTGTTCTGTTTACTCCACCCACCTAAGGGTTGGCCTATCAAGGGGCCTAGGCAGTTTCTTTATTAATGAGAAATCACTCCCACATCACTGGGCTGATAGGAGGATCTTCTCTGAGCCCTCTGGTCTCCTCCCACCCTTAGACTGAGGCTCTTGGGGTGGGGCTGGGGCTAGGTCTGTGCTCATTTCAGCTTTCAGCAGCCCCAGGATGCTCTGGTCAAGCTGTGCAATGCCCTGCCTGCCTGAGCTAACAGTCTTAGGACAGAATCATCAAGGCTGCTCGCCTCAGAGACACGTGACCAGGCCTGGGGAGGGAGGGGAGCCATATCTAGACACCCGTGTTTTCAACTGTTTGCCAGCTGTTTCTGGTCCACAAGAAAAGCCAACAACCCTTAAAAAGGATGAGAGAACACTGGCTCATCACCCCCAATGTGAACCATGGCGCCCATCCTACCGCACCACCGCATTTGGGTGCCTTTCCCAGGCTACACAGCAGTTAGGTTCCTGTGATTGTTAGCTATGCCCCAGTTGTTCCCTGTGTTTGTGCAGTGGCCAGGGTAGGCTGTGCCAAGCCAGGGCTGGGTCTGGGGTGTCCTGCTGGTTCCAAGCAGAAGGCAGCCAGGGCTGGGCATGCCCGCCCTCATCTGCAGTTTCACTGCCTTGAAAAGAAAGCTATGACCCTGACCTTGAACCCAGGAACCTGCCTTTGGTCTCATGCTGTATTTTAATTTTGAGACCTCTACACAGTCCTGGGTGTCCTGGACATCACTATGTAGACCAAGCTGGCCATGAACTTACAGAGATCTGCCTGTCTCTGCCTCCTTAGTGCTGGGATTCAAGTCATGGGCCACCATGCCCAGTTGGCCACTTGCTCTAATATGAGGACCGTTCCGGGCTTTTGAAACCTGGGTCTCTGTGAGCCACCCTCTGGACCATAGGCTGATTCCAAGGACTCACACTGAATGAATGTGGCAGAGATGATGGGATGTTACTTCTAAGACTGAGTAATAAAGATGCTGGCCTTGGGCGGGGGCAGGTGCATGGCTCATTTGGTAAAGTGTTTGCCTTGGAAGCATGAAGATCAGAACCTATGTAAAAATTCTGGGCTTGGTGGTGCAAGCTTGTCATTCTAGTGCAGGGAGGTGGAGACAGAAGAATCCCTGGGGCTCACTGGCTGGCCAGCCTAACCTAATTGGCCAGTGGGAGGTTCTGTCTTAAAGGAAGCGGATGTTTCTGAGGATAATACATGAAGTTGTCCTCTGACCTGAGCGCTCATGCACACACATTTGAATCAGTGTATACACACACACACACACACACACACACACACACGCACACACACGACATTAGCTTTGTCTTGGGTCCTCTCTCTGGATGATCCCAGGTGCATGTTGAGAGGCCGGGTAACAATCTCAGGAGGGATCAAGGAAGAAGACCCCTCCCTGGGCAGCTCAGGATGCCACTGAAGCCCTAGCTGGCAGCAGCCAGAGGCAAGCTGGACCACTTCTGTGCCTCTGATCACCACTAGTTGTAACCTGCTAAGTTCTGGGAGGTTCTGCTAAGCATCAGTAGATAAATGAAGGTATCTCCTCGGCTGAGCACTTTCAGATGTCAGTTTCTCCCATATCCCCTGGACCCTCAGTCCCAGCTAGACCACTCAGTCCTGCAATATGGGTCCAGCTGCCCTGGACCCTCAGTCCCAGCTAGACCAGTCAGTCCTGCAATATGGGTCTAGCTGACTCAAGCCCTTAGGCCTTTTAATCCATGCAGATTCATCCTTTGGAAGTTCTAAGTCCCCAAACAAACACATTTCTCTTCCCAGATACCCAGAGAGATACCCAGAGGCTCAGCTATCACTGCCTCTGATATCTCCTGCTATTTCCAGCACCCTCCTGTGCCCAGCTGTGCTGCAGTATAAGCAGTTCCGAGGAAACCAAGTGCCGGGCCTCTGCCTCCAGCCTTAGTTCACAACAGATCTATTCCCTCTTAGAACTGGGAGACCCAAGAGGGTGGGGCTGAAGCTGCATTCCCTCTGGTATCACATGAGGCTCAGCATAAGGTCTGATACAACACAGGCTCTGGGAGAGATTGATGAATGAATAAACAACCATTGTGAGCTATTGGTCCCTGCCCCATCTCTGCTCTCATCTTCCCAAGGATGTGAAACTGAACCTGTGGGCTTAGCGATGTAGCTCAGTGGCAGAGGGCTTGCCTAGCATACCTGAGATCCTGGCTCTACTTTAGTGCCTTAAAAATAAACAAATACAAACAAAATAAAAAATAATACAACAGGGGGCTAGAGAGATGACTCAGTGGTCAAGAGCACCGGGTGCTTTTAGCGGAGGACCTAGTTTCAGTTCCTAGCACCCACACGGCTGTTCACGACTGCAACTCTAATTCTAGGGGATCTGATGCCCCCTTCTGGCCTCTGTGGGAACTAGGCATACATACAGCACACAGATGGGCAGGCAAAACACCCATATGCATAAAGAAAAACAACTACAACAGAATGTGTTGCCTTCCACATAAAAAAACTAGTCTTTGCCCCTAATTTCTCCATTTCTTTTCCTGGGAAGAGGAAGCTTCCAGGTAGCCTTTGACCTGTCTTGGGGAAGCACACGCTGGCTGCAGCCTTTGTCCCCTAGCACTGTGACACTCCAGCGCACGGAGTAACCCTCTCTGAAACTGCTGTGGCTGCTTCCTGAGGAAACCACCCCTCCAGGAGAAAGAGAACACTGGCTAACTAGTCGTGGTGGCACACACCTTTAATTCCAGCACTCAGGAGGCAGAGGCAGGTGGATCTCTGAGTTTGAGGCCAGCCTGGTCTACAGAGTGAGTTCCAAGAGGACAACGAGGGCTACACAGAGAAACCCTATCTTGAAAAAAATCAGGGTAGGGGCACTGCCTACTAGTGTCAAGAGGCTGGAGGGAGATGCTTAGGAAGAGTGGATTTTATCAGAGGATTCTATTTCCATTCCCAGGGAAACATTCTCCAGTCTTGCATAGCCTCTCTCAGCCTGGCATTTGGGACATCCCAGCACCCCCACCCAACCCCATATTCCGACGGGAAATACAAAAGGAAATGACACCGTAGGCTCCAGTCCCTTGTGTAACAACCACTGAGCGCAGCCCAGCTAACTTTTCGTCACTGTCGCGTTTAGTGGACTGCCATGCACTACCCGCGTCAGCATCAATGCTAAGCATTTTACAGGCTTAGTTCTTGACTCTCCACACCCTATGAAAGATGTCTTTGCACTTGGCCAAGGTCACTGGGTTAATGGGGGGGCGGGGCTGCATCTGGAAGCAGGTTTAGTAGCCTTCTTGCCAATCTGAGGTCCCTCCTGCAAAGTTCTTATGCTTAAAACCACCTTCATGATTCTTTGTCCTACGCACACTTGTTCAAGATGATGCCCCCCCTAAGTGAAACAACCACTCCCAGTGGTTCCAAGGATGGGCTCTGGAGCCACATCCCCTGAGTGAGACTCTCCTGTCTCCTGATAACTGTGCGACCTTCCTGAGCCTCAGTTTCCTTCTCAGAAAACAGTACTTTGTCCCTTGACTATTTCACGTGAGTTGTGAGTCCTATGCATGTCTGACACATGGTTAAAAACAGTCCACAGTGAGGCCTGGTTGGCCAGCACTTGCCTCATCTCTGAACTGCAAGTGACCGTGAATGTATTTTGGCCACTGGAATGAGCAGAGCTGTAAGGTGTGGACTGTTCCAGGTAGCCGCATGGTGACCTGTTTTTAGCCCACCACAATCTCCCTTTCCATCTGCTGTGATGACAGCAATATTCCAAACAGGGGCTCCTCTATGGCTCAGTTCCCAGGGGAAGGAATCTCAAACTGGTAGCATGGAGGAGAAATAAGCATTATTGTCTCGTCTGGCCTGTAGAGACCCAGAACAAGCTCTGTGGATGCTAAGATCTAACAGTCATTTATCATGTCTTACTCCTTTTTTTAAACATAAAGCCCCATCACTTCCACAAATGAACAAGGAAAAAGCACCAACCACCATCCGAAGTAATCACGCTATAATTAAAACAAGGCCCCTGCATTCTCTTACTCCCCAGGGCGTCTGTATGCGTATAACTGTTCCATGAACACAACCCATTGTCCAGGAAGTGCTAGCTAAGGGAGCTTGGAAAGCCAGCCACGGAAAGCCTTGGGGTTACCCCAGACCTCCTCCCTTGCTAGTCAGAGCCAAATCACCATACCTCTGCAGGGCCCTGCCCCATTGCCCCTTACCTCTGCAGACGGTGCCGTTCTCCACAGCTTCGAAGCCTGCCTTGCACGTGCAGCGGCCGATGGGCACCAGCCATTCACCGTCCCCGTTACAGTAGAGTTTGATGGGCACGTCCACTTCCTCCGCATTGGGGATGCAGCTGCCCCGAGCAGCCACCAGGGAGGTGCTCTCGGCCCCCGACAATGTCTCCTGGAAGATGGCACCATTCTGGATGATTCTGGGACACTTTCGGTAGAATACACGCACAGCAATGAGGGACATACAGCCCCCGTAGTCCTGGAAGGCCAGGTAGAAACCGTTGCGGGAAACGGGACCAAAGCTTCGCACCTCGGTGTTGATTTTCATGACGCGGCCACCCAGATCCACCTGGGAGAAACTTTCGTCGGCCGCAATGGTGTCTACCTTCACCCATGGGTTCTCCATCCAGTTGGGGAAGGTCTTGGTGGCTAAGTCAAAGTCAGCCTCATAGTAGTAGAGGTTTAAGGTCTCCTTGCAGGAGCCGGGCACGCTGGGAATGCTGCTGCAGTCACGTACTGAGAACTTCATCTCCACGTGGATGCGGTGGGCGCCACGGCGCCGGATGAATTTGGTCCGCAGCCAGTTGTTCTGGCTTGACTCAAAGACATTGCACACCTGGTATGTGCGGATAGTGTTCATGTTCTCATCGTAGCCACTCACCTCTTCCCACTGCGGGCGAAACACCAGTCAGACGGGGAAAGTGGCACTTGGCCACAGCAAAGACCCCATCTGAAGTGGGGGGGAAGGGACGAATATGGACTCTGCTTTGGGGACCCCTCCAGTCTGATGATGGAGAGACGTTTCCATCTGATGAGGGGAGACACAGCCTCAACTTCAGAGAATTCCCCAGCCTAAGAGTGCCACACCAATCTGATGGTGAGAGGTACCATACCCTCTCTTGGTATTTATCCCCTAGTCCTCATGGGATATGTGGCTCTGACCTGTTGCTAGCAGGCAGGGACTTGGAAGGGGCCCACAAGGAAGGAGTGCTTTCTGGTGCAAGGAGACAGCTTCATGCATGGGGGTGGCGGGTGGGGGCACAGGGACAGGCCACTGGGAAGATGGGGGATGGGCACACATGACTACTACTTGCTTGGTGGAGGAGAGGAGACAGAGCCTCTGCCACCCTCAAGAGTTCCCTGTCAGTGAGGGAGATACTATCTTTGCCGTCTGGAGACTCCCAGTCTATGGAGGAAGATGGCCTATACCCTTACTGGTCGAGGGTCACGGGGAAGCCAACAGCAGCTTCCCTCAGAGGCTTGCACTGCCTGAGCTCTTCTCTGGGAATTGGTGCCTGCTGGTACCTGGAAGGAGCTAACCTCCTTCCCTGTCTGGAGAAGGAGCTCAGAAACCTTCCTGAGTCCCTTCCTGAGCCATTACTAACTAGCAAGACCCTCTAAGTCTCCATGCTGGGTGGGCCGGATTGCCTGTGAGCAGATAGAAGAGTATGGGAGCCAGTCATTTCTGCAGACTCAGGCAAAGATCATCTCCATGGCTGGGCCTCTCCATGTCCAATTCTATGACTCTTTCAAATGCCCTTTGTTCATTCTCCCCCCCGCCCCGCCGTGGTGCTGAGGATAGAAGGAGGGACTTGCACACACCCCACAAATACTCTGCCACTGTACAGTCCCAGTTCTCACACACCCTCAAACATCCGGGCCTGTTCCAGCACCTGTCCACAGCCTCCTGTGTTTGCATTTACTGACACGCCCTGGGGACAAGGAACACTCAGCCTTCTAGGTCTGGTCTCCCCAAAGGATTGGAGTGCTAAGGCCACTTCCTTCTCTTCCTCTGTGCTCCCTGGGGTAGGGCTGGTCCTCCCACTTAGGCCCGGCCTGAAGCTAATGCCGGCACAGTGTCTCATTCTTTGGCATGATTCTCACACTTAGCATGTGAGCTCCATTTTGCAGAAGGGGGGGGGGGTGAGACCAAACAGGTGAGGCCACCTGACTCAAGTCACAGAGTCTTGGTCCTGTTCCCACGTTGCCTCGGACTAAGCACTGTTAACATTCTGCATGCGCCTGGGCAATCCTTCTCCCCTCCTTGGGCCTTGATTTTCCCATTTGTCAAATGGGACCATGGGGATGGCAGATGACCATGGAGATGTCAGTAATCCTTGAACCATCCTGTGCAGAACTTGGAGGGAGCGAGATGCTGTGAAAGGTACATGCACAGGGGAAGCCAGAACCAGGGCTTGCTGGCCCAGCCTCTACCTCAATGGCGACTCTGAATCTCCCTACATCGCATTTAATTTTTTTTTTCCTTTGGTGGCACCATGTGACAAAGTCAGCCCCTTGTTACAACCGCTGCTCTTCCTCAGAACTTAATTAGAGCACTTAATTAGAGCACTCTGCCTTTCTCCCCTCTCTCTAATTAACATGCGGAGGCCCTGCAGCCCAAACACCCCAAATAATTGCGTCCGGGGGCCCTGCAGCCCAGCCTGGCCTCATTACTGGCAGGGTGGGGCCGTGGGCCCAGCAGTCTTCGCAGATGGAAAATTGGTGACAAGAAAGAGCCACAGAAAGAAGCCTGACCCTGGGGCCCTGCCTATTGAGAGCGAGGCCTGAGGGGGGCGGGTATGGATCCCTAGGGCTGCAGCTGAGTCCCCTTGGAAGACTAGAGTGGGAAGTGGGGGATGGGCTGTAGGGTCCAGGGCCTCCCCAGAGACCATGGGAGGGCGAACGGTAAAATTGATGGTGATGATGGTGATGATGATGATGATTACCGCTGCTCTCTCTCGGGGGCCAGCCCATGCCAGCCTCTGTGTTATGCTCTGGGGGAAGCCTTTGGTAACAGTGGTGAAGGCCACTGCTTCACAGGTAAAGAAAGCAAAGTTAGACAGGCAAAGGGCTACCCACGGACTCAGCTGACAGGTGGAATTGGGACGGCGTAGGGAGAGACGCTGACAGGTGGAACTGGGACAACGCTAGTGGGAGAAGGCCTATCTAGCCTCATCTTCCTCTCAGGGTACTCGGAGCAGACATGGGCTCGGACCCTACCCGAGGGATGTGATAAGAACTCAGGGAAGGGATGGGGATGTAGATCAGCTGCTAGGGTGCTTGTCCAGCAGGCCCAGGACCCTGGGTTTCACTTCTAGCACGGAACAGAACCGACCGTGGTGGTGCACACCTGTTTTCACAACATCCAGGAGGAAGAGGCAGGAGGAGCAGAAGTTCAATGTCACCCCTCGTTACACAGCTAAGTTTGCAGCCTGTGCTACATGAGACCCTTTCTCAAAACAAACATAAGAGAACCCAGGGATGTTCACTCGGGGGATCCTTGTGTTATGGAGATCCAGAGTTGGAGTGGCGAGGACTGGGTCCCTGATACAAACCTGAGCCCCAGTTGAGGTGCAGCTCAGTGGTAGAATATAATTATAAGGCCCTGGGTCTGATTCCTAAGCACCAGAAACCAAACCACAATTAAACCACCATGAACCCCTTCATGTGAAGTTGTCAGGCCCCAGCAGGTGGCTGCATCTCTGAGCTTCTGTACTGGAGATGACACGTAAAAGGTGTGGTCTCTAACCCAGAACAAAATCTTACGCGGTATACTTCCTTCTTCTGAAATGGGCGCCATGCGAGGACCTACTTCTCAGCCTCCCCTGGGGAATTCTACAGGATGAAGGCCAAAGTGTCCACATGTTGTCATGGGAACGGGTACTCGACCAAGGGTGGGTGGGATGGGGTGGGTGAGATGTGAGAGGAGAGGGGCTGGGATATGAGGGGATGTGCGAGGCATCGGTAGACTCTGGGGCATGCTGGGAGCCAGCCAAGCAGGGTTTGAGGGACCAGAACTCACCCCTGATGGGGGATGCACCATCCAGCCCAGCTCAGCCGTCGCCGTGGTAGAATCCATCAGTGTTTCTGTGGGAAGAGCAAAGAGTCACCACCCGCCCCACCTCCCAGTGCTGTCAATTACTCTGCAGACCCTGGGACCCTACCCTTTAAGGTTCTTCCTTACAGCCACTTGTCCTGTAAACCCAGCCTCCCTGTTCCACATTACCCCTTACTCCAAACGCCTAGCCAATCGTTAGAGCCCATTTTTCTGCTGTATTCCTCTCTCTACGGTCATCCCCATTCCCAGCTAACCACATCTCACCAACTCAGTAACTATCTTGCTCCATCTTTCCTGGTAGAGGGTCTTTTTCTTTCTTTTATTCTCCCTTCTTTCCTTCCTTCCTTCCTTCCTTCCTTCCTTCCTTCCTTCCTTCCTTCCGGTTCTAGTTAGGTTTTTTTCTATGTAGCCTTGGCTATCCTGGAACTTGCCTTGTAAACCAGGCTGGCCTCGAACCCAGAGATCTGCCTGCCTCTGCTTCCCAAGTTCTGAGATTAAAAGTATGAGCCACCACCACGTAGCCTGGTGGAGGATCTTAATCTAGCGTTCTCTCTTCAACGTTTCAGAGGATCCACCACCAATCCCTCAAATTTTTACATCAAAATTCAACCATCTATTTGCTTTCCAGTTTGTCTCAAAGGTTCAGACACTGAAATGACAGCCTTGGCGGGGGGTCTCTCTTCAACCTCTGGAGATCCATCATTTGCCTGACTGGCCTCAGGACATAGGCCATGTTGGCACCCTCTGTCTCATCCCGGAGTCCCTCCTCCAGTGTTTAGCCAGCTCCACCCCAGGATGAGACTCTGAAGAGGAGAGTTAAGGACAGACCTCAGAGTGTGCTTGCCACTTGCTCTATGGGGTTCCAGAGACGCAAACCAGTATCAGAACCAGTAGCTGGTGGGGAAAAAAAAAAAACCACCCAGCTTAAAGTGAAAGAGATCCATGGGCCCTGGAGATCCCGTTAATCCCAGGTCGGAGTCAGTATCCTTCCCTTCTAGTCCTTTCCTACCAAGGGCTGTCAAGACTGAGCTGAATTATAACACATGGAATGGATCTACACAGATGCTTTCAAACACTCATTCAACAAATCCATCTTAATGTCCGTTATATACCAGGCACTGGCCTATACTGTGGGACCATGGTCTTGTACCCTGTAAAGATTTGTCACTCGTACTGGTTTAATAAAATGCTGATTGGCCAGTAGTCCAGCAGGAAGTATAGGCAGGGTGACCAGAATAGAAGAATTCTGGGGAAGAAGAAAGGCTCCGTCTACAGTTGTCACCCAGATGTAGAGAATGAAAGCTGAGAATGCCCCACTGATAAAACGTACCAAGCCATGTGGCTGACAGAGACAAGGATTATGGGCTAATATAAGTTATAAGAATTAATAAAAAGCCTGAGCTAAGAGGCCAACCAGTTTATAATTAATGGGGGCCTCTGTGTGTTTCTTTGGGACTGAATGGCTGCAGGACTGGGTGGGACAGAAACCTCTGTCAACAGGCCTAGGTACCACAAGAGAGAAAAAATGACTCAACCGCAGGGAGGCCAGTGAGATGGCTCAGTAGATAAAGGTGCTTGTTGAACGACCTGGGTTCAAGCCCTAGAACCCACATGAAGGTGGAAGCAGACAGCCAGCTCCATAAAATTGTCCTCCAACATGTACATGCATGTAGAGGCATAGGTTAGCCCCGTCATGCACATATGTGTATATACACATACTAACAATAAGTAATTATTTATTTTAAAAAACCCTACAACAGAGCACTTTATAGACTAGAGATAGAGAGGAGGATGAGTCAAATGACTGTGAGGGAATAGGCAGAGAGCTCTAACTCACGGCTCCACACCATCTATGACAGGAGACATACTACTACATACCACCCAGGACAGGAGACATACTACTACATACCACCTACGACAGGAGACATACGACCACACTCCAATTCTGTGCCCAGAACAGGCATCATTATTCAGTACCCACATCTCTGTATCCAGTGCAGGCATCACTAATCAATCTCTATACTCTGTGGCCACTAATCATTTCCTCTGCAAAGTTCCAGGAAAGGGAAAAACAGACCATCTGAGGTGCTTGCCTGATCTGGCCTAGTAGCCCCACTGTAGAGAGAGGGCATCTGGACCAGTGGGAGAGGACTGTACAAGAGTTGGTGAGGGACTGGGACACACAGCCGTCTTGCCTCTTAACCGCTGACATTCTAGGCACTTGGTCTATGCGAGATGCGATGCGCCGGGCCGGGGAGGGTCCAAATGGGAGGGGATGAGGGTGTGAACTATGACAGGGCGGTGGCTAAGGAGGGTGGGAAAGGGAGGAGTGTCTGGGTGGAGGTGACCCCAGCCAGACCTCTGAGCTGACAAGAGAGGCTGCAGAAGAGAGCCTCATGACCGCCCGGGGCTCGAGTTTGTGGTCACTGTGTCCTTTTGCACTTGAGAGGGGGTAATTGGGGGGAGGGTGCCAGGGACAGTGGGAGCCAGTGCCAAGGGCATCCTTTTGATGGCAAATTGGGGGGAAGTTCCATTGTGCAGCTCTGGAGCTGAAAGAAGGTTCCTTTTCACACTCGAATGCTACAGATTCTTCTTCCTGGAGAGAACAAGGGCTGAACTTTTAACCTGTTTTCTCTCATCGGACTCAGCCAGAGACGCGCCAAGCTGGGCTCTCAGCCTGGACCCTGTAAGCAGCTGCTGGGGGCAGGGAGAAGGGAGCCTCTCCTGGGACAGAGTGGGGTCGAATGGGAGGCCAGCCCGCCAAGCAGGTGGCCCCACCCCTTGGCTAGATTCCTGGGCTGACCCCAAGGAAAAAGTACTAGAAGATTCTACAGCTTAGAGGAGGAGGAGCTGGGAAGTGACGATGTAAGCTCAGACCCGGGAGGGTACGAATGACCCTCCACGAAGCACACTGTAAAAGTTGGGGCTTAAATATGACTCCCCAGAAGTCCTGGACCCTGTTCTTCCACCACTGGCCAAGTAGGGTGGGAACCTGCTAGAAAAACAAACAGGAGGGTGGCTGCACCCCAGGAAAGAACCAGAAGGGAGTAAAAGGTGCAGGTAGGGTCCAAGTGGAGCCCTGACCTGCTCTTCCTTCACCTGGCTTTGCCTTAAACCAGCTTTCTAGAAACTGTGGCCCCCTGGGCTCTGACATGAGGGGACATATGGCCGTTCTCCCCCAAACCCACCTTGGTTTTTTTAATTCTAGTATCTCTTTCTACCCTTTGCCTGTGCAAAGGGAAGTGAGCAGCAAAGGGACTATGACTGTGTGTGTGTGTGTGTGTGTGTGTGTGTGTGTGTGTGTGTGAGAGAGAGAGAGAGAGAGAGAGAGAGAGAGAGAGAGAGAGAGAGAGGATTTCACCCCAACTGAATTAGCACTCAGTTCAGGACCAGCAAGAAGACTCCATTGAGAAAAATAGTTGCCACCAAGCCTGATTGATGACCTGAGTTTGAGCCTCAGGGCCCACACAACAGAAAGAGAAAACTGACTCCCGTGAGTTGCCTTCTGACTCCCATATATATACTGTGGCATGTGTTTATGTATATCACATGCACACTAAATAAAAAAGTTTAAATGTAATATCTAAAAAAAAAAGAAGAACTCACTATATTATCCAGGTTGGCTTAGAATTTGCAATCCTCCTGCCTCTGACTCTGCCTCCTGCCTCTGACAAGTGTATGCCACCGTGCTTGGCTGAGACCTCAATTTTAACATAGGTTCTCTCTTATGCTGGCTAGCCTTACAATTTTGTTCTCTCTGTCTCTCTCTCTCTGTCTCTCTCTCTCTTTCTTTCTCTTTCTGTCTCTCTCTCTCTCTCTCTCTCTCTCTGTCTCTCTCTCTCTCTCTCTCTCTCTCTCTCTCACATTAAACCCCAGGGCTTTGCACATGCTAGGCAAGCACTCTACCACTAAGTTATATTCTTAGCCTTTTTTGTATTTTCAAAGGTTTTGTGATAGTTTCCCAGGCTGGCCTTGAACTTGAAATCCTCTTGCCTTAGGTTCCCGAGGAGCTGGGATTATTGGCATGTGGAACCAAACCTTGCTAAACTTGAGTCTTTCAAAGCTCCATTTCCCTCACCTGAATTTCTTCTGGGTATGGACAGGGGGTAACCACGAGGGGAACAAGTCAGCCATGGCCCATACACTGTAGGTCCTCAAGGCATAAGCGCTGACCATTGCCTTCGGTGTAGCACGGACTCCCAGGCCCACCCAGTGCCATCCACACTCACCACTCATGAGCTGACCTCTTAGATAAAACACAGGGGGGTTCAAAGGCCTCCAGAGCAGTCTGCCCAGCTCTCTGGCTCAGAGAGATGACAAGAGACGACAAACATCTCACGAGCATCAGACCTCACTGGATGGCCACAGCCTCCAAGGACCCCTTCCTGTTCCATCTGAGGCTGCTTTCCTGGAGCACCCCAGCTTCTTTGTTCTAAACCTGTCAGATAAGCCAGGCTCCATGCCCTGAAAATCTGGAAATCATAGTTCTTGCCTCAGGCAACCGGGTGGGCTCAGGAAAACAACTCTAAATTCTTTCACCAGCACTTCCTCTCATGGTACCCTACACAGCTCTCTAATCCGGAAGTCTGCCAAGGGAGAGCAAACTAAAGTTCACTGAGACCCCATTAAGACCCAGAAGCCAGGCAGGCCTTAATCTCGGCATTTGGGAGGAAGAATGGGAGTTCAAGGCCACCCCTCACCTATATAACGAGTTCCAGGCTAGCCTGAGACACGGGAGACCCTGTTTCATCCAAAACAACAGCAGGCCAGGGAGATAATGCAGCGGTAAGGGTTTTTGCCACCAAACCTGACACCCTGAATTCAATCCCTGGGACATATACAGTAGAAGGAGATAACCAGTTCCCAGTTGTCCCGTGACCTCCACATGTGGGTCACAGCACACACACACACTCTCACACAGAAGACAACAAATACAATGAGAAAACCACTGAAAACAAAATAGCCAAGAACTCGCTCACATCTGCACAGTGCCAAGAGGGGCTCGGCATATTACCATTGCACAAAGAGG